GTACACATCTTATGCGATTTACGTATGGAGTGTGTGCTAAATAAGAACGCCGGATAGCTCTATCGACCCGATCTAGTGCCAAAATAAGAGGCAGAACTGAAGTGGCTACGCTTTAAGACATAGTGGCCCTGAAGGTCTCGCAGGATACGCCAAAATAGAAGGCTACCGACCGCGAACATCACATATTGCTCCAACGATAGTAACTAAAAGGCTGAGCTTATATCTTATCGACGTTGTCTAGAGATCCGGCGTTCGATGGAGATGTGGTTTCAAAATGATATTACTTTCAGCTTGACCCAGGGTTACCGATGGTTTGTGCTGAGAATGCTGTAAATGCTAAGACGCGACCTCAGCGCATTCACGATTTTTATTTGTAGTTTGAGTAAGCCGACGTTCTTGAGAATGACATAGACCCACGTACGATATAACATCGCCTTGCTACGCTTAATGGAAGTCATCAGAAGCGTGAGCGTGTCGCTGTTTTTACATGAATATAACAGGATTGGTCCGGCTTCGTCAACGACCTTCATTTATCACTCAAATAATGATCATAAATTCGGGTCTAATTCTAAAAATTGGCTATATTCCTAGAAACGTCGCTGCCTTACATGCGCTACAGATAAACACAAATTTGCAACGAGGTCAGCATCCTACGCCAGTTTTTTTTTACATCGTGTGTTCGAATATGGATATCCGCGCAAAACGGTTTGGCAAGGCTGAAAAAAAAAATATTTCTATAATCAATCAAAGGTACGACTCTACCAATAGAACACGTGTGGAAGTTACGTCGCTACGTGAGCGAGTATGCTCACCTCACAGCTTCCTCAGCACTGATCCAAACAACGTCAGAGTGAAAACTGACGAGGCACTTCAGCCCCATAATTTGAAAAGGTTTGAAGCTTGAAAAGATAGTATAGTATACAGATTTCTTCATGCAGCATCCTATTAGCGGTTTCTGTTACTAATGGCGGTAGATGACAAGGTCGATGACAATACGTTCTAATCCTTGTCTCGAACTATGTATGAGTGTTCGCCTAGATTAATAATAGAAATTCCAGCCTGGTTTCTCGGAAGTTCAATCCTTGCCCGCCAATTAACCATGTTGCATTTAAATTATGCTAAATAATTTTTTTTTTTTAAATTTTAAGTCGGTTTCAGCCCGGTTCTACTCTTTCTTCGATAAGATTTACATAGACCCCACTTCTTTCTCTCTAATTCACTCCAATTTTTTTGGTCTCTATGATCGAGCTTCGCTGTGCTTACTGTAAGCAACTACCGCTAGCACTTCTAGAACGCTGTGTTACCTTGTGGAACACCAATCTTCTCGTTGTCAGTTCGGTCCTCTGTTTTTCTCCTTACAGTACGTAATCGCTTATTCGCTAAGCCCCCCTACGCTGCCAGTGCCCTGTAGCATCGCTGTCATCAACCCCCGTTTGGTGGACCTCAGTTTTCCGCTGACGCACGCTGACGTGCCCTGCATCATGTCTAGGGGCAGAGCACTCAGTACCAAACAGGCAGCTTCATCACCATTACCGTAAGCTAGTACCGATGAAGTACGTCATTGGCTCCGCGAGCTTTCTCCTATGCCACTGTATCCCACATAAAGTGTACCCACTGTTCTAAACCCATCCGTCTGAGCTGATAGGCTTTCCACGAAGGTTTTGTCGTTGTCCATATGTGACCGCGCAGCTTCTGGCCGCTATGGTCGTCTACTGCCAATCCCTTGTCTCGTTTACTGGCGTTCCGTTTACTAGGACAGTAGTCTGTGCACCGGCAACCCCGGCATGTAGTCTTTTCCTATGTGCGAGCTGTTCTTCTATACCAAGAGAACAACGGGGGGTCTGCGAAGAGGGGAAATACATAGCCGGATGATAGGTATAGGATAGCCGGGTCGCAGCTGGATAATGTGCTCGCCCTATTCTCAGCACTCTTCGATGTTTGAATGAAATATTTGACTTATTATTACTCCAGACTATCAACATCACCACGACACGCTTCATTATGATTATTATTCCCCGGACGCTCCTCTTTTGTATCGAGGGTCGGCTTGGCTGTGCCTACCTAGGGTTGGCTTACCATCCGTCGTAATCGCCGCTGCCACCGCCGCCGCTGTCATCCTCTTCAGTATTGTTATGTATGACAAGGGAACGACGTGAAGAGAGAGAGAGAGAGAGAGAGAGACGGCGAAAATCCACTAAGGACGCTATACCGCTCGCCTCTTTGCCGATGTGGGTGCTCAATGCGGGGTGGGCTATGGGTGCAATGTGCTATCTATGTCGATTACTGCTTGTTGTATCGTTAGGTAAAGGGAAAAATTCGGCGCAGATAGCGGATTTCGATGACAGCTATGATACTCTGGGGAGGACTCCATTGGCTAACTCTGAAGAGCGGAATAAGAACGGGGCGTGAGCGCCTGTAACTGTCGTGGCAATGACCATCGAGCGAACGATACAAGCTGACACTCCGATGGACTCGTAGCCCTGAATCAGTTGGCTCGATATGAGTGACTCTTGTATCCTGGAGTGGGTGATGGAGACTACATTAGTTTTAGACGGAAACTTGTCGTTCCGATTAAAAAAACAACTTTTTTTCACACAGGTGGTGCGAATACCTGCGCGACCCTTGATCTTTCTTGATCAATATTGGCCATTAAAGTTGCCTTGCCGGCGGCCGAGTGTACATTTCGTCGTAACAAACACAGTATAAAATTTGTCAGAGGGGAATGTTTTGACTGAGGGATTTGTGTAAGACAAAGTTAAGACTGGTATAACTTCTATTTCTCATGCAAATGGATGTGTATGTTGTGATTGGCCAAATACTCTCGCACGGCTTGTGGAAATGTGAGGTACTCATCGCCGATTCGAAACACTTGTATCAAAGGGGGGGAGAAATAGACCTTTTCTCTTTTTAGTTAAACGTATCTGTCGATGCAACATAATAAGTAAATGTTGAGTACCTCAGGTTTGCACTGGGTACGATACCTGGTAATCAGTAAACGCGAGAAGGACCGTCAAGTTAAGCACACGTGGTACAAACGAATCGCATTTCGGCTGTACCTATGATGTGCCACGCGGTATTGCGTTGACCAAATGAGTCTGACTCACGCTCCTAGATCGTTAAAGTTTATTATTAAATTATTATGTATCAGTGGCCGATATCTTAACTTTCTAAACTTTTTCACTAGTGAATCAAATGGTCGGTCACTGGTACCGATTCGCTATGAGCACTAATTTAGTCTTAATCATAGTAATTTAAACATAATAGAGCAATCTTATACCCCTGCCAGCTAATAGTTTAGAAAACAAATGCCCTAACACATATTTTACCCCAACTTTCCGTGGGCATTCTACTCCCACAACATCTGAATTAGCTCAAAAAAGAAACTTCGCAATCGGTAGTTGAAACGAAGTCGACTTAAATTTGGTTAAGATCGCTATGGTCTTCAATCAATTTCACACCAGTTACTTCATGTATTCGCTTAGCCCAGCGTAGCATGCCTTTTGTTGAGAAATCCATTGTATAGGCTATCGTTGTGCATTAAGGCCGATGTAAATTTACCCTTATTAGCTTCTGATTACTGACAACATACCACAAGGCCAGTAGGGTTTCAATTCTAATATTGAGAAATAGTTCGCGCAAGTGTGATTTGTGAGACAGCTTGCAATGAACCTACAGAGTACAAACTAAATAGTAAAAATCATGGAGGGGCCAGGGAGAGTGGTCATATAGACACCGTTGCCAACACAACACTGGTTCTGATCAAAAAACACTTTTAAAGACGACTGGAATTGTCATTGGCACGGGGTCTACTTGCTTTCGCGCGCACATAGAGAAAGAAATGAGTTCTCGTAGGACCTAGCTAGAGCAAATGGTGTTGCTGTTCTGGCTTGATGACTGCAAGCTCAAACCAGATATCGATCTTCTTTGAGAATATTCAGCCACAGATTTACCGAAAATAGTCGAAATAGGTTAGATGTTGTCTCCCTGTAATGGGGCAGTGGTAAATTGTTTGAGTACTAGGGTTACAGGTAGCTCTATGGTCCTGGTTGGAAAGCGCGCGCAAACGGATTTCACGTCCCGCTAGAAGAAGCCAGCTATCTAAAGCAAAGCTAGAAACATTCAAGCTGGGACAATACTATTTGCAATCCCGCATCTATGTAGCTGTTGTTGTCACCGATGAAATAATCCCGATGACCTTTAACTTATCGGGATTCTAGCTTAGGTCGCTGTGAAGTGTCTACATTGCGTATGGTGAGGGTGTGAGGCTACATTTTGTTCGATTTTTCTTGCATGCGAATGTCAACAGGTAAGCATTGTCAGCTTATTTTGCCAATTTGTCGTTGCTCGATTGTTCTTAATATAAATTCTAACTAACTGAAGAAGTTACGCGCAGAAGTACGATTTTAAGTATATATGTAAGTATCTATTAAGTATAGTAGTATACGTGCGATGCGCTTCACTACGTTGTCTGACTACTAAATTATTATTGTGTATTAAATTTTTTAAGTGAATATTCTGAAGCAGATTACCGAAAAGTGTCAACAATAGAATGGGTACTCGTTGCCCTCGATGCCTCGTCTTGTTCAGTTGTCGATTTCATAGGCTTCCCGAAAATACCCTTGAAAACCTATTACATCTCTAGACATCACGGAATAAAACGTCCACCGAAACATCTGACTTAGGCCATTTGACTTTCATGGTTACAGTATCACCAGCATTTAGTCTACCAATGATTGATTGCCAAATTGTCACACTCGGGCCTTTCTCGGATTCTGCCGAGCTGAATAAATAATAAAAAGTACACCTTACAAGTTAGTTAGTATTCGATGAGTGACCACAGTGTGTTCTACTGCAAAAATATACAAATTCTCTCAGTAGGTTCCGTTGTCATTCACCAAAGTGTACCAACAGCGCCCAGGTAATTTTCTCCCTTAAAGCAGACCATTCGGACCCAAATTCCCACCGAGTAGTCATCCTTTAACCCGTCCTAATAAACTTACCTGCAACTGTTAGCACTTTCCACAAACTGAGTTCCATTCCTCGTTGACACAATCAACTCTTCGTTTAATTTTCCAATTTCGTTGTACGTTTGTGACAGTTGCAATCCTTTATCTTGCAAATAACTTGCAAGTTTTAACTTGCTTATCGCTTAATTAACTGCGATCCGGTGCTAAACAATTCCTTTACAACGAACTACTGAACAACTTTACACTGCGTCCACTTCGGCTATTTAATCCCACTAAACATAACAAAGGCAGTGGCGACGTATTAAGCATCACAAATTGTTTCACAACTGTCCAATTGCCTTCAACTTTGATGATAACAATTTTTACGTGATGATGCTGCGAAAACACGTTACTGGGCTTTCCTTTCCGATAGATACTTTCTTTCTGCTACCCAGAGGGAAGTCAACTGACTTTTACACCGAGAAGTTCCCGCGATTTCGCGTCGCAGTACTGAACATGCCGCGGTTCGCGCCTGCGCATAGCTTTCGAGGCCGACCAATAGGAGCGGAGAGGCGTGCCTTCGGAATGAGGGGCGGGGGCCCACGTGATGACCACGCCGATGATTTCGTCCCGATCGAGACTCAGAAGGCCCTATGGGGTATACAGTATGGACCTAGAATTTTTCGCAGCGCCAGAAGCCTTGGCCGTAACGGTTAGTCGGAAGCAGTCTGCAGAACTTACTAACACTTGCTTGTGGCATCTTGGGCTATAGTAGTATTGGCTACACCGAACTCGACGAGACTGAGTTGGGTTGGGCAGGCGGCCATATGAAACAACATGAAACCGGAAGGGCCGACAAGCTGTTGGCAGAAGGAGAAACGAGAGAAGAGTAGAAAATTGGACATGTAACTGCTTCCGAGTTAGTGCCGTCGATCCACTATGTACTCGTATGCAAATGTGTATGTTAGGCTTCCGCCCTTAGGTAGAAACTTAAGGGGCAGAGAAATAGATCGAGAAAACTACGAAGAGTTATCGTCTTTTGTTATCGGCCAGAAAAATCTGTACATCTGCTTACCTCGACTGCACTAACACTGCGTATACACAGAATTTCTTCGTCTGTATTTGGTGCATACATACAGATGTACATGCATACATACATGAGTATAGGTCAATTCTCAGGGAACTATAACATTTGGCTTGATTTCCCAAAAATCCTTCATGACTTGAGTTTATGAACGATAATAATCTCTACTGCTAATACGAATATTCAAATTTTTAGGATTGTCTTTCTAACGATTATGCTAGTGATCATTGTTTCTGATTGAAAATAAGATCCAGGTATTAGATTTTGTATTGTCGAACCCATATGGTCCGTTCGAAGAAACTCTCATAGGACTATTTAAATCATTGATCTTTTCATTGACTACAAGAGGTGAGAGCTTACATGTTCATTAAGCTATAGATCTGAACTAAGTTGAGTCATATCTAGAGGGGGAATACTAGAGTGCTTCAGGATGCATAGGTTAGGTATTACGACAAACAAGTATATTAAATGATATGCCTAGGAGAAGGTAAAATTCAAAAGACCCGTTGAACTGAGCATAAATCACGCGTCACAATGAAATACTTCAGCAACTAAATAGAATAACTTAGTTCCTAGAAGCATAGAAAGCGGAAACATTTCTCATCTTTTAAGATGACTTTCGAACACGCTTTAAACCAATTGCTATAGCCACCTAGTACAATTCAGACGCCCTTTCGTTCGACAAGTTTGCGGAACCTAACTGCCAATCGCTCAACGTAGCATAGTCTTACGTGGTGTATAATTGCTCTTCATTATGACGACATGGAAAAGACGTGGCCTTTTCCCTACGTAGTTTTTTTAGAAGCTTCTACAGAAGACGAGCAATACAGACAAGACGCTTGCCGTAGGTCATATTTCAGCCCTAACGAAAGCTTTTTTCTTAGACATTTTATTACTAGCTGCTTATAACTCCTCGCGTTAAGCTAAAGACAGAGTCCACAGTTGATCGTCCGCTTTCGTCATGGCCAACGGCAATGCCGGATGTAAAACGCGAAACGTAGAGGTAAAACGTATTTAAGTTGGTTTTTTTACGCCTATCAATAAGCCTCGTCCGGTGGGTACGCACAGAGCGGGTATCAGAACGATTTGATATTGCTGGTATTAACGTAGATCATTTATACGTCAGGACTCAAACGAGCTTCTAAACAACGCGCTTTTATTCGTACCGCCTGGCATAGAGACGGTGGATTCTCGTTAACACTTAGAAACAAAATGACAATGATGATGATGATTCTGCTCCTTGAAGCCATTTTCATAATAGTGTGCTTTAACCATACAGAATGAACGTATTAACTTTAGACTTTGCGTTATACTCACCTAATAATCTGGAGCAGACAGCCAAGGTCGGGGAAGTTCTCTCCGACAATGATAAATGACACAATTTCGAAATAGACCCAATATGCTTTTCGAACTAATGCGGATTACGCATTTACTGTTTCCGGTCATTTTGGACAACTGCCAGTAGAGAAAATCGGCCTTACAGCAAACGTAGAAATATTCGTTGGGAAAAATTACCACCTACCCTTATCTATAATAGTTACCATATAGGGGCAAGGATGGAGTAAGCCGAAGTAGGTTTACGTAACACGTAAGAAGCACGGATTATTGGTTATTGTAAAAAAAAAATAGCGTTACCATTAAGGCCTTAATTTGCCTATTTTTCTAAATAATTTAAAATATATTTACTTCGTCCTTTCCTGGATTTTACGTATTAAGGCTTCCAATACTTCTGCCTATTCCGGTATGCACGAATTCGCTCTTGAACTATCTACGTTAATATCATGCAACATTCAGAGCGCAGATGGATGTATGTAATCATGTACTTACTTACAGGTACAACTGAATAAGATCCCATAGAACATATCTATTTGTAAGCCGTATGAGAACTTTAGTAATCAGCGTTTATGTTTCATGGCCATTTCCTTCGATAAAAGTTCCTTTAATTTCAATAATCAAATTCCTGCCACGTATAAAGGTGTGCAGATAGATAGGTGAGCATTGGTTAGTGGACTACACTTCAGATCTCTCAGAATATCAATTTATCGTGAGCACTCTGTCAGATAGCCGTAAGTTCCAATTTCAATATGAAATACTATTTCATTCATGATTCTATTTCGCTTGTTTATCTTGCTCACAATTTTAAGTCAGTTAATTCAAATTTTCATCCCCCCACGGCATGTTTCGTCTGCATGGTCCAATCGTTTCAGACTAGCGTCAATACGGATCCTATGGAAATGAGCCATATTCCAGATGGGAAAGAATAGCACATTTTCGAGAGACTATCATACCTGAAGTTCATGAAACTGGATTAAAAAAAGGTCTCTATTTTCAAAACACTTTGCACTGTTCCTGGAAAAAGGACACATGCATAACAGTTAAGCAGTTTCGGTAAATTGTACGCAAGGTATCACGTACAGTCAATAGACCTAACCTCAAAGCACTGCTCCGAGTTTCTAGCAAATCTGATTCGTTTACACCTTTCGAATCTTGTGGCTTTTTCCTGATATTAGAGGTCACTTAGCTGTGTTAAATCTTACATAAAATATTTACATTTATTTCGACAGACAGAGCTCTCCATGCAATCCGAAATTCAATCTAGCGCGGTCCGCAAACGGTTCCCTAAAACGTTCGTCCTCAGAGAAAGATGACCTAATGACCTTCGGGAGACTTTTAATGGAAATCAGTTTGCCATGAATATATAGCCCCGATGCTGCCCATAATCTGGTACGTTTATAAGATAAAATTATTTTCTAAATACGAGATAAAAAAAAATACTACTGCATTGTTTGTGTGCAATATCGGTTCGATGCTTTATGCACTCAGGGTTATCATACAAATTTAGAGTAGTTACGAGACCTCTCGCATTTAGTATATAGGTAAAAAGCAATATGAATAGTCAAAAGAAGCGTTTATGCAAGTGATTTCGATGACGAAACGATTCACGAATAGAAATAAATCTGCTCCAAAAACGCAAAGCTATGTTGAGATGCAGGATACACACAGATTTTATTATTGGACGTCCATGATTTTGCGTGAGTAAATTTGTTCCACTGATAGACATGATCTGAGGGTCCTGTGGTACAGGATCTGAAGTGTGGTACGGTATAACCGACAAATGTCGTGTCGAGAACACTGAAGTGTTTCAAGGACAATCAGCTCTTGTGAACAATTAGAGAGGTGTCAAAATCGCACGAAGGCGTTGCAAGTTACTATAGATGAAACTTAGGTTATTAAATTAAAATCCTTACTGAGATTGTTTTCCATTGTTAAGCAGTCACTGCCTATTTCAATTTCGTTGATGGCTATTCGGTCCGTCGGAAATCGGCGGAAGTTACTACAGACGATATGCAAAAAAAACACTTGAGTTGTCAAAAAAGGAAGAAATGAAATGCGTCGTGTGAAAATATTGATGAACAGAAATCTTAACGTGATTTAAAAAAAAATTATCTCAAGTTAGCTGAATACCAATGCGTTTAGTTATTCTTGGTTGGTGTTGTCGTGCCTCAGATGCCATTTGTATCAATAAATCTATTCTTCAAAATTCCGTTTTCCGCCAGCGTTCAACAACTTCAATATACGTTAGAAATTTTTCATACGATTAAAATAATCTTGAGCAGTTATGCACCAGTCATTAAAGTAGCACCACAGTGAAGTGGTCGGTCGTCTTGTTTGAAGACGACCCACGCTTTAGCTTGACTTGTCTATAAGGGCTGTCACATAGGACGAACATAAAGGACATCTAGATTACACTCCTGATTAGACAGCTCTTTATCTAGGCAATCATTAGTTCGATTAGTTACTTCTATTAAATCCCAAATTTCTTCTCTTGAAATGTTTTGGAACGCCAGGAAGTGTTAAACGGTCCTTTATGTGCAGCTCAGAAAATGTGGGAATGACTATAGATGGAAACAACCTGAAGCCACTATAGGCCAGGTTTTAGAATAACTCTATTGTGTCAGTACATGCCATTGAAGTAGAACAACTCGGACGGAACTTCAGCCTATGCCCAAAGACACTCCGAAGCCTGAAGTTGAAAAGCATTCTAGGTAGTTAAAGGTCGACCTAGGAAAAATATGTTAATTTCCTATTTATACTATGCTTTGATAATATTTTTCCAAGTGCCCAAATCTTTTCCATG